CTACCTGGGTCCAAAACCACAAAAGTCATGTGTGAAACCGTTTATCAGAAATACACAAATTTACTACTTGCACTCGATAAACGAAATGCGGGACACGACTAGAAAATTCACTGGTCACATTCATTGTAAACGACAAAAAGACTACAGGAAATGTCAAGCCCAAGGTACCAGGGAATAACGAAGTATCTCTTAGGCATTTGTCCCGCATTGATAAGGGTAAGCTTTAAGCATTTGGGGCTTTCACGGTATGAAACACTGGAACATATACATATTGATAATGAGACCAGGGAATCCATTGAAATTCACGTCAAAGAYAGGCATCAAAAAATGTTACTATTCCTTAAGGACTTCGTAGCGGAACTCTATATGATATTGCATGAGACCAAATCTGGTGTATGCRTGGCTAACTAGTCCACAAGAATAACCCAACGTAACTTTATCTAGTTGGTCTGAAAACATGAATATTGCCCATGAACCGTAGACTAAAATTAATAGCTCCGTAATAGAAAATATCAGTGCTACGAATGCATTTCTGGCTAGGAAGATCTTTCGGCATAAACCACAACCCGTTCGTGAATGCCTGAAATATGTCAAATCGACCGCTGATAGATTTACAGCAATTGCCGCAATTGAGATCGGTAAATTTATATTTATCATTAAATTCCAGTCGATATTTCTTTATAAATAATTGTTATGCATAGAACGATCATTTTCGTTCGTATATCGATAAAATTATGATGCTCTATATGTATTCGATAAACTTATATCGATATTTCGCAAYAATAAATTTAWTTTTATCGATAATTTACWATCGATATTTCACATCGATAAATTYATGTTTATCGATAAATTACAACCGATATAATTTATTTATCGATAACTGTCTTATAACAATAAAATTATGTTTCCCCTTGTTTCCGATAAATTTATATCGATATTTCGCAACAACAAATTTATTTCTATCGATAAATTCACGTCAGAATTTTTATATCGACAAATTCGAACCGATAATTTTGGTTCCTGATCATTAGTTTTCATTTTTATCGATAAGCTTTTAGGGCTTCAAATGGAATTATCTTTTGTTTAGTTGTTTTTTTGTTTCTTTCGAATTTAATCTGAATAGCTTCCTTTAATTCGCGATGCCTTATTTTCAAATTCAAAGGAAAATAGTGAACATTATTGAATTTTCAAAAAAAAAAAAATAATGATATTCATAGCTCCAACAACCAAAAAAATGAGAGATATGATCTAAGCTGTGACCAATTTCAAACAAATATCGCACGGGYTCTCAGTACTCCCTTGCTACGTGAGCTTTTGTGAGAAACCAAAGTTTTATGGAAGCAAATGGGAGAAATGTCTATGGTTTAGCTAAAATTTAGGCARATCAAAAGCTCGAAAAGTTTAGCAATCATATGTGTTTCCATATTATTCGCGGCTTAAATCTACGGAATAACCAAAAGTCTTGCTGATGAACCTTTTTATGGCAGCAAATGGAAGCTTGGTTAGCTTCAATGTTCTTCAAAGAAATTTCTGTGGTTTAGCTAAAACTCAGACAGATCAAAAGCTAGAAATTCGGAGCTTAAATCTTCGGGCCAACCGCTAATAGTCATGCCAATATTCTGCATTCATTTTARAGAAGTAATGTGTGAAGTCCTAAAGAAATCGTCGGCTAATTTCCTACTAAATTTTATGCTGTATTTTAACAGTATAATTAATGACTCTGATGTAAACATTCACCTGTATGTATGATGGCAATCAGTTGTTTGTTGTTTGTGTGCCTATTTGGATTATGTATTTAACTGCAGCTTAATTACTAATTATTTAGTTAAATATTAAAGTAAGTACATAGCTTTCGTTTAAGTGGTCCTGTAATCCTTTTAGTATATATATGCATATATCTATATATGTATTTATATATATGTGTCTATGTACATATGCATTTATATAGCTATAATACCTAGTACATATGTAAGATCTAAACACTATTTATATATATAATATATACAGTTTGGTATATGTAATTGTGGCCTCGAGATAATATTTACTAGCTATTTGAGCTTAACTGTACATAAGAATGGTGTTTATATTCAATAATTATATAATATTTTATATATTACATACTTATCACTTTTGATTTATGCATACATATACATATGTATGTATGTATGTATATAGGTTTATCGCTTGACGCAAACGGTTTGGTTAAATTGTATTTTCTAATTTATTAATCACTAATTAGCCTTAAATGCTAATTTACCAACAATMTATACATATATATACTATATACATACGTATGTCAACGCTTAATCTGCTTGCTCTTGCGGTTAAATTTATTTCCAGCAAATTTAGTATATCAATTTCAGTTGAGCGCAATAATTTTGGACGCGAAAGCGCGATAATTTGTCAAATATGGTAAGCAAAAACAACAAAAATAATATCAATGAAACACCGCAATTTATTATAACGTTTATACATATATATATATATATATAACAATTGCATATATGTATGTATATATGGTTACATCACCGCATGTGTCACCAAATAATGACATTTGGCTTCATTATGGACCGAAAATAATTGGCAAAATCAATAAAAATTAATTGACACAGAGGTGAAAGTTCAACACGCTGATATACATATATGTATACATACCAGCATTTATATTAATTTTCGGTTTTATATAACGTTAAAATTAAAGCAATAATTTGTTCAAAGAATATCTGTGGCATATTTRAATGTACGTACCTATTGAAATTAAAATGTGTATGGTTGGTGCAGCAGTAGAAATCACATTGATAAAATAAAAGAAAATAGAAACCCGTTGTTAGGAAACAACATCCAGTTTTAATTACTCTGCAGAAATTTATGTTCACTAATAACATTTGTTAAATATTTGAATAYGATTTATCAAGTACTAACCCTTGTTGGAATTTGGCGTATATCGATTTGAATAAAATAMGAATATAATAAAATATTTTTCATTGCAGCTTTATTGAAAGTATCATTTTGTGATTAATTTATTTCACTAAATTCATATCGATAAAAGTATATCAATATTTTTGTATCGATAAACTTTCATCGATAACTTTTATCGATACTTTTAAGCTGTTAAATTTTTTATTTATAAGAAAATTCGAATATATTTAAAACTGATGCGTTAAATTTCGCTCGTCCCTAGTAGTTATCATTTATATCGATAATATTTTCTTGTTAAAAATGGAATTAAAATATATACTATTGATATTTGTATCGATATATTTAAATCGATACATTCAAAACATATTTTTATATCGATTTCATGTATTCTGCGAAAATTTTCGTTCGTCCCTTTAATTTTTTTTTTATTGACAATACTTAAATGCACCAATACCACGCATTGTTTGACACTTTTCGAATAATTTTAAAATGAAATCCGTATATTTATATCGATATTTTGAATCAATCGGTTTCTTTTTATAGATAAGTTCAAATTAATATTTTTATATCAATAAATTGCAATGCAATCTGCGGTAATTTCCGATCATTTCAAGAGTTTTTATTTCTAACGATATAATTTTAAAGCTGCAAATGCAATTGTTAAATTTATATTGATTAATTTTTTTATCGATAAATTTAAATCGATGCTTTTATATCGAAAATTGTCATGCATAGAACGATAATTTCGGTACATATATGGATACAATTACGATAATCCAAATGTAATTTATGCATTTATATCGAAATTTCGCAATGATAAATTTATTTTTATCGATAAATTAAAATCAATTCAATCACTATATTAATTAATTGGAATGCTTTGGCCGGTAATTTTTCGGTCATGCCTATTAGTTTTAATTTTTATCGATTTTTTAATATTCCAAATGGAATAATCTGTTGTCTAATTGATTTCTTCTTTCAAATTTAATCTGAAAAGCTTCATGTAATTCGCGATGCCTCATATTAGAATATTCCACGTTCTCTATTCCAAAAAAATCTTTTTTTTGTTAAATCAGGCAATCCAGGAATCCTATGCTGGTGCCATTTTTGAACGATAATTTTTGTTAATATATCGATAAAAATATGATGCTCAAAATTTAATCGATAAACGGTTATCGATATCGCACATCGATAAATTTATGATTATCGATAAATTCAAATCGATATTTTTACATTCATAATTGTCTTGCATTAAACGATATTTGACAATTATAAATTAATTTTCATTGATAAATTTAAATAAAAATTTTTCGCAGTGTCAGCGCTAATCGATTTAAATGCCAATCTATATCAAATTATTGCATTATTTTAATGTTTATGTAAAAGAAACTATTTGAAGAACAAAATCTGTAACTTCTATAGTATATATCTACGTAATCACATGATGTCATAAGCTGTCAAAACTAAARCAAAGTAAATAACGTTTCGCTCAATTTAAATAAGGTACAAACGTATTTACATTTGTATGCCTTAATGCCYATGCGCCGTTTTGCAATCCGTTTCCATTACTAGCGGAAATTCGCAAAATTGTCGCACTTAATCTGTTTTGACGAAAACTACTTAATTATTTATATGTACATACATATGTATATGTATATGTAATTAAAGTTATTTACATATAAATATTGAATTACAAGTAGTATTTATATTTACGCATCATTTTCGCTTTAATCATAATATTTTTTAAACATTACATTGATAAAGATTTTTTGAAAAAATATTTT